GAAAAGAAGTTAAGAAAATAACTCACAACTTTAATAATCAACAAGCTTCAAGAGCAATACCAAGAAATGGAAGTTTAGCTCCTCATTTGGAGACTAAACATGCTAAAAGAAATATAGAGAAATGCTATTCTAAACTGAGCTTAAGAGTATATAGGAATTGGTTTTTAAAAATGAAGGAAAGGAGGTGTATTTATAGGCTTTTTGAGGTGCAGGTCGAGTACTTGATCGAGTATGTACATATACTCGATCGAGTATGTGTAGAACTTCGAATTCGATCCATACTCGATCGATATTCGGGTATATTTTATAGCTATACCCGATCGAGTATGTCGGTGTACTCGATCGGGTATGACAATAGAACGTGGCCAAATCTTTCCTTGCATGTTCATTTGTTTCCGGATCGGGTCCTTGAAAATCAGTATTGGTACTCGATCGAGTATAAGGTATACTCGATCGAGTATAGGTCAAAATCAGGAACTTTCCTTCTTTTTGTCTTGTACTCTTGCACCTTCCTTCACCATTGATCATTTGATTGATCTTGGACCTGTTTAAGCTCAGAAAAAACCTAATCTAAACAATTTACAAGAATTTAACAAACTAAACTATTACACCAAAAGTGTGTAATTTCCGAAATATTAAACAACCAAAACTAACTAAAAACGTAAATAAACACACGGAAATTACAAACGTATCATAGCTCTCACATGGGTGTACCTTTAATCACCTATCTCTCTTATGCTGATGACTTGATTGTCTTTTCTAACGGTAATAAAAAAAATCATTAGTGTATTGTATAAAACCATCACTGATTTTGAACACTACTCAGGACAACGTATTAGCACTCAAAAAAGCTTCTACATTATCTCGAAACATGCTACTACTTCCTCTCATATGCTGATTAAAAGTATTTTTAAAATCCCCCAAGGCTCTTTCCCCTTTATGTACTTAGGTGTTAATATCTTTAAGGGTAGAACTAAAAAGGTGTATTTTGAACACATTCTTGATAAGGTTGATAATAAGCTCTCAGGTTGGAAGCATAACCTCCTATTGGTTGGTGAGAGGATGATTTTGATTAAGCATGTCCTATCTTCCTTTCCCCTATACCATATGGCCACTGCCAAAATCCCTCTTTCTATCTTAAATGATATTGAGAAAAAATGCTCTTCTTTTTTATGGGATAAAACTCCTACTCATAATAGACATGTTTGACGGAAATGGTCTAAAGTTTGTTTTCCAAAAGAGGAAAATGCTCTTGGCTTTCGCTCCCTTCATCATATGCAATTAACCTTTTTGCTAAAGCTTAACTGGAAACTTAAAACCAACTCTAGCCTTTGGGCCAAGTGGGTAAATTCCCTACAAAAATCTCATCTTTCGATTTTTGGGGGTGCCCTCAATTCTGCCCAGAACACCTTTAATGATAACATTGCTATTACAATCCATTGGATCAGCTTATTTGTGGTTTGACAACTGGATGGGCAAAGGTAAGCTTATTGACATAATTGATATTGACCCCCCCTTCCCCGATACTACTGTTAGACAGGCCTTTCAAAACAATCTTCTTATCACCGCTTTGGCTGACAGGATTCCCAGGTACTACACCGATTTCATTAATAAACATGCCCCTATCTTTACTGATAATAAGGACTCCCTTGTCTGGCAACCTAATAGGAAAGGTTCTTTTTCTTTTAAGAGTGCCTATGATGTAATCCGCCCTAAGATGGACAATATGCCAAATTGTAAGTTTATTTGGAACTCTAAAATCCCCCTCAAGATCTCTTTTCTCCTCTAGAAAATGCTCAACAAGTTGTTTCCTTTTGAAAATAAACTCCAATCCTTCGGGATCCTTGATCCCTTCAAATGTGTCATCTGTAATAACGTTGACACTAAGGATCACTTCTTCCTTCACTGTGCAACCGCGGTAAACGTTTGGAGGCACTTTGAAGTCCTTTTTCATTTCCCTAAAAATCAAAATGGCGGCACCAATGAGTACATTAATCATTGGTATTTTGACTTTAAAGGACCGATCAAAGATTTAAACTTTTTAGTTCCTAATATCATTATTTGGCATCTTTGGAAAATTCATAACACTTGCTTTATGATGATAGAATTATCACTAGCACTGAGGCTATCACTCTTATAAGGAAAGATCTCTACCAAACCTCGGTTTCCAAGCCCCTCAAGACTACCTCCCCCTCACCGTACAATATCCACCTCCATACTAAGAATACCCCTAAATTAAACACTACCCACCTTTGTCATTGGATCAAGCCCAACTCTAATTATATTAAAGTGAATAATTGCTTCTCGGCCTATCCATATGAACTTTGTGAGGACTGGTTTGATTTTTCGGGATAATAATGGCAACTATAAAGGGAACGCCGCACACACTTTGCAGAACTTTGACCTTACGTGTGCTCTCTATAAAGCCATTATCTACTTTAGACCTCTTTTAGACACGTTAATCCAAACCAATTTTATTATTGAACTTGATAATATACAAGTTTGTAATGCTATACGTGGAGAGAGCTTACATCACTGGACCCATTGGACACATCTGCCTAATTCGAAGACTCTACAACGGCCATCACTTCACATTTTTCATATATTGATCTGGGCGTCAATAGAGCAGCAGACTACATTGCCTACAATAGATCCAGATAAAAAGATCATAAAATCACTTTAATCATTTTGTAGGCATTCTCAAATTTGATGCTATTAGCTATCCGTATCTAATCTAGTATTTTTCTTGGTAGGCTCGGTCTTATGTCCTCCTATTGTGTATCTTTCCTTATTAACGAATAGGTAGGGTGTTCCTCGGCCCTTACCCCATCATCGGATGGTTTGCATTGGGTAAATTATACACACACACACACACACACACACACACACACACACACACACACACACACATAGAGAGAGAGAGATTGCAAAAAGTGGGGATTAGTACAAATCTCATCCTTTTCATTTTCTGGCAGCTATCTCATTTCCTTTTCCGATGTGCACACCGAAGTGTTTATTACTCAGACAGTAGTCCATTTTGACCATAGACTAAAAATAATTTCATGGAAAAATAACAAAAAATTGGACCCTTTCTCGATTTGTGTGTGTCATCCTTGCGTAGGGGCCATGCTAAACGTTTCTATCATTATATACAGGCCACACATTAGTGTTTACATTGATGTTGTGTTAACGGAACACCACACTGTTTCCGGTTCTTATCTTTTCATTTTTTTCATTTTCGTTTTCCAGAATAAAAGAATAAATGCATGATGTCCCAATTCATCGGATCGTCATGAGGGGGAGAGTGGTCCACGTGCTGTTTACTCTCAAAATCATTAGCAGACACTTTTCTCCTCCAGCTCAAAAAACGACGGCTCTCTACTCTCTCAGGTTCATCAATTGCCAAGTCAGCTTCAAATCTAATGGTCAGCTATGCTCACAAGTCAACCATCATTTTCCGTTGTGCCGCCGACAACTGTTCCTCAAAAGCATTCACGATTGAATAGTCAAAAAAGGCTACATTCTGGAGGATACAGAGGTCGGATGATCAAATACTGAAGATGAATCCCTTGTGCGCCTAGATCTCTTCAGAACAATCATTCTAAAGGCACCATCAGACTTCATTCGAGCTGATCAAGAGCAGTTTCTGGAAGGCATGAATTAAAAGCAAGATTTTGAAGAATCCCTCAACCCCCAGCATCAAAGAACATATTGAATGAATAACACCAAGGGGGGATTGTAAGGATTTCTTCATGAAGCCTTTTCCAAGAAGACAAAAGAAACTGAACTGCACTGAAGATCAAGACAAAAGAGGAGCAACTCAACAAATCTCATCTATGCTCTCCTCTGCATTGCTGAAGCAATACAAACACAAAGATATCCGCGCTGCAATGCTGAGTAAACAAGATTGAACACCGAGGGAGATTGATAGAGATATGTTATGGTGTTTAATCATGTTTAATATAACTTTATTTGTGTTGCATTTAGTCTAATTAATATATTTATTAGACTATTACGTAGTATTAGACAAGTTATTTTAGGAAAAGCCTTGTAACGTGTGCATTTGGGTCACCTCAATAAAGGGGCCCAATCACAATCAGGTCACATTAACTCATTCCCTAGGGATATAAATATTGCCTTAAAGGGAATGAGATCTCAATCCTCTCCATTATTCTCCTGAGCATAAATTCATTCCAGAGAGAGCCACTATTCTTACCCTACACTGTATTGCAAAATCATTTTGGTATTGAATATACATTTCTATTTTTCTCCATTCTACTGGTTTGATTGCTGAAGCAGGAGCAAACGCTAAAAAAGAAGGGAAAAAATGAAATGTAGAACTGTTTTGAGCAGATTTGTGACATGTGAGATTATTTATATAAAGTTTTCAAAGAAAAAGCAAAAAATGGCATAATAGGTCATCAACCGATCAGGATCCAACGAAAGAAGATGAGGTTCAAAAGTGAGATTATTCCGATATCACGTAAATGTGGAATTATTATGAGATAACTGGTCAAAGATGAGATTATTATTGTCAAATTTCCCTTTTTAATATGATGTTTTTGGATGAAATTTTGAATAGTTATTTGAAGAGCGTAAAGTGAATTAGGGGTATTCTTGCATCGCAATGAATATGACCCGTTTAAGTGATATCACCAACGGTACATTACAATACAATCAAATGATTTTTTTTTTTGCAGAAATCCAAATGAAGCGTGAAAGTCCAAATGTTAACTTTTTAGCTGAAATCCATACTCTAGAATTTTGAAATGGAATAAAGCTATGGGAGTTCCAAATCACAATTTGCATCTCTAATAGGGAAGCGGTTATGTTAGTGAGAAATATTAATCATTAAATTCTTCATACTCAGTATTTTATTATGTACGAGTAATTTATAGAGTTATTTACGTTCTATTTATGAAGTATTACGGTTAAATTTATTTTAAGTGTTTCATAAACTAATATATTCTGGCCCATTTCCCTCTTTTTTCAACCACTAAATCAATACTCTCGTACAGCGTTCCTTTAAAGCCCCCGCCATTCTGATTCCCGCCACGCCAAATCCCGCCATTTCGATCGCCTTAAATTGAAGCTCTATACAGTCTAGTCTCCAGTTACCTAGCCCGGATAATAATATATCTCGAATTTACTCATCTTCGTTTGAAGAATTTCTTCGTAGTTACTAAACCATGAATGAAAGTTTTGAGGAAACGAACAAGTTGCCCGAGCTCAAACTGGGTACATCAAAATTCAAAACCCTAGTTTCTTTTTTTTCCTTAATTTTTGAAATCTAAATATTAACCCATCTTTCTTCCGTGTGATTTATTTTTGAAACCATAGATGCCAAGCAAGCCCAAAGGTTTCTATCATTCTTCAAGACGCTACCCGAGGTATTAAAAACCCGTCCCCTTCATTTAAACCGTTTGCGATGAATTACTGGGAATTTATGTCGAGGAACCTTAACTCACCTCTGTATGTGCAGGACAATAGGGTTGTTCGGTTCTTCGATCGCAAGGTGAGTGCTCATCTCTTAGCATAAGCTTTTGTTAGTAATCAGGGTGGTTATATATTTATTTTTTAAATTGTTTTTAGTCCTTTATTGTTTTTACTTCAAAATATGATCTTCTGTTTGCATAAGTTTTATGGATTGCCTCAGTTTATAGCTGCTGGTTAGTGAAGAAAAGAACATCGGGCTATTTGCTGCATAAACATAGTTCATTTAATTTAGCCATACCAAAATGGCAAAATCTGTCAAAACCAATATCACATTTAATCTGTTTGCAATATCATTGCACTTCCATTTTGGGGAGTGCTTCTTAGTTTAATTTCAGTTCTAATATAGTGATCTTTACATTCAAATAATATCTATATATATAAAGGGAACTGTGTGACAATAACGGTTCCCGCCTAAACATTATATGCCTCCATATGAGCAATTCTGGCAACGCTTGGGGTACACTAAATAAAAAAATCTGGATATTATGTGACATAAAAGTCCAGCAAGTAAGCTAGCCCACTAGCTTTAATAGCATTATCAGGTCCCCATTCCCCATGTTAGGAAATTTGTAAAGCTATTACTAATACTCTGTTAAAATTATTCTGGCACCATGTGTACACACCGGTAAATACAAGCCTAGCTACTATCAAATATTCCAAAGTTTTTATCCTTTAGCAAGTGCATCCAGCGGTATTATTTTCTGCAAATAAAAAAATCAAATTATTTGATATCAGTTAGCAAATAATTATAAAGAACAGTTTTTCTTATCATAAAATGAATTCAAATAAATAAGACATATAATCACTATATTGTACTTGCATGTTAATTTTAGTAGAATCTATGATGTCCATCTATATTAATCTGCCGATTGAAGTATTTTATGCTTCAAAGTAGTATCAGCAGTCTCAATATTTAAATTATATGCAAACAATTAGCACATACTACATATATTTTATTATAATATAGATCAAACAAATCTTTTGCATCATCTTAAATGTGAAGACTGAAGACAATACTTAGCAAATACTTTTGACGCCCAATAGTTATAAATTTACAATTTGACGCCTAATAATTAATAAATGAATTTTAAAAGCAGTTAGCAAATACTTTTAATATAAAAAAAACATTGGACGCGTTTGTTTTCCAGCGCTTTGCTGCCTACACGCTGCACTTTGCAGCGTTTGTAGTTGAATAAAACCAGTGTTTCGTTTGAAATGCTATTTATCCAAACGGGGCCATTATCTTAACCATAAATGTGTACTCATTTCTCACGGGAATAAGTGTTCTCACCGGAACTGAAACCTATATATCAATTATCAAATGAAAAAGCCCTTAAGAACACTCTTTTTGTAAAACTTTGTATATCAAGAAGTTTTTTTAAAATGTTTAATTTCTTTGATGTGGTAATGTCTTTTATTTTATAAATGCATTTCGTGTAGCAACTTATATTTGTTTCTTTTATTATTTATACATGTGGTTCAATGTTGTTTATATAAATATATTCTGCATAATATTTCAATATGGTATCACATCATCATAAACAAAATATAAAAACATATTTGTCCCGTGCATCGCACAGGTACAATACTAGTATCTTAAAATCTAAATAATGCTTCTCGAACTTCTTATAGTAAAATTTGTTGGAAATGGGTGGTTGGATGTGCATTTATAATGCATTAATTTATACTCTATTCAAATATTGTGTTTGGCAGTTTGCTATATTTGCTTTTTTCATCTTTTTGTGAATCGAAGTATTTTTTTTAGTTTGATATCCTTTTGATAATAGGACTCGGAAGTGCTTGCCTGTTTAACTCTGTTTTCTGTGCTTAATACATTTTTGGCAACTATATTAACAAGTGCTTGCCTTATCTTAGGATTATTACACAGCTCATGGAAACAATGCAACTTTCATAGCAGAGACTTATTACCATACCACAACTGCTTTGCGGCAACTCAGTGATGGGTCTGGTGCCATATCTAGTGTGAGTGTGAGTAGAAACATGTTTGAGACAATAACCCGCGACCTTCTCTTGGAGAGAACTGATCACACTCTTGAGTTGTATGAGGGTAGTGGCTCAAACTGGAGATTAGTTAAAACGGGAACCCCAGGGAATCTTGGAAGTTTTGAAGACATTCTTTTTGCAAATAATGAAATGCAAGATACTCCGGTGATTGTAGCTCTTGTTACCAGCGTTCGTGAAAATGAATGCGTTGTCGGGTTAGGTTATGTTGACCTCACTAAGAGAATGTTTGGATTGGCAGAATTCCTTGACGATAACCACTTCACAAATGTGGAGTCTGCTTTGGTTGCTCTTGGTTGCAAAGAATGTCTTGTTCCTGCAGAGAGCACCAAATCTAGTGAATATAGACCTCTGCAAGAGGTAATGTCAAGGTGTGGTGTGATGATAACCGAAAGAAAGAAATCTGAGTTTAAAGGAAGAGATTTGGTGCAGGATCTTGGTAGACTCATTAAGGGCACTAAAGAACCTGCTCAAGATTTAGTCTCTGGGTTTGAGCTGGCAGCCGGGGCATTGGGGTCCATACTTTCTTATTTAGACCTACTTGGAGATGAGAGTAATTACGAAAACTACACAATTAGAAGATATGACCTTGAAAGTTACATGAAGTTAGATTCTGCTGCTATGAGGGCATTAAATGTCCTGGAGAGCAAATCAGATGCTAACAAGAATTTTAGCCTTTTTGGCCTGATGAATCGAACCTGTACAGCTGGAATGGGTAAAAGGCTGTTGAACATGTGGCTGAAACAGCCTTTACTAGATGCACAAGAGATTAACTGTCGGCTGGATTTGGTGCAAGCATTTGTTGAAGATGCTGAACTGCGCCAAGATCTAAGGCAGCATTTGAAACGAATTTCGGATATGGAACGTTTGGTGCGCAATCTTGAAAAGAAGAGAGCAAGCTTGGTGCATATTGTGAAGCTTTACCAGGTGCTTGATACCCCCCCCCCCCCAGAAAAAAATAAAACTATAACAATCATGTGATTAATCTTCTTCATTACCCCCCAGTGCCGCAAAGGCTCCCACCTATGGTGGGGTAAGGGGGGTCGGATGTACGCAGCCTTACCCCTGTACTAAAGTACAGAGAGACTGTTTCCGGATGACCCATAGTTAAAATCGCGTCGAAAATTGCATAGATTGACCGCTGCTTCATAACAAAGAAGCGCATACAGTTTAGTGGGCCATTTTGCTTTATTCCATCATATTCCCAAGCCAAAAAATAGCGAGTCTTTGGCTCCACCGCAAATGATGGAAAATCATGTGATTAATCGTTTTACAAAAATTCTTTTCTTGCAGTCTAGTATCAGACTCCCATATATCAAAGGTGCATTAGAAAGATATAACGGGCAGTTTGCATCATTGATCAAGGAAAAGTATTTGGACCATCTAGAGTATTGGTGTGATGATAGACACATAAATAAGTTCATTGGTCTTGTGGAGACTTCAATTGACCTTGATCAACTGGAGAATGGAGAGTACATGATTTCAGCGGCTTACGACTCAACCTTATCTGCTTTGAAAACCGATCAAGAAGCACTAGAGCGTGAAATACATGATTTACATGAGCTTACTGCTAGTGATTTAGATTTAGCCATTGATAAAGCACTTAAGCTAGATAAAGGGCCACAGTTTGGACATTTCTTCAGAATTACAAAGAAAGAAGAGCAAAAAGTCAGGAAGAAACTGAACACCAATTTTATCATTCTTGAGACTCGAAAAGATGGAGTGAAATTTACCAATACAAAACTCAAGAAACTCGGGGACCAATACCAAATGATACTTGAGGAGTATAAGAACTGCCAGAGAGAATTGGTAGCTCGAGTAGTTCAAACTGCTTCAACTTTCTCTGAGGTTGCTATATGGCAAAGTACCATGGTGTTATGATTTAGTTTAATCATATACTCCACCCTTGTTCAAGTGTTATTTTCTTCGTTACTATTTTTTATTTTGCTGCTAACTACACATTGGCTGTACAGATATTTGAGGGCGTAGCTGCATTGCTATCTGAATTGGATGTGTTGCTCAGTTTTGCAGATTTGGCCACCAATTGCTCCACTCCATACACGAGACCAGACATCACCCCTCCTGTAATGAATTTTTGTATGATTATACCTAAATATTTTTTCTTAATCTAAAGATTAAATAAGCTCATGTGCTTTCTACGTGTCAGGATGTGGGAGATATTATACTTGAAGGAAGTAGACACCCTTGTGTGGAAGCTCAAGATTGGGTCAATTTCATTCCAAATGATTGTAAGCTAGTAAGTGTTCAAGTTCATTTTTGTTACATCTATAGCTGAGGTTTTCATAATGACAGGTTTTGCGTTTCTCCAGGTTAGAGGAAAGAGTTGGTTTCAGATTATTACAGGCCCTAATATGGGTGGCAAATCTACATTTATACGGCAGGCATGCTATTTTATTTCTTTGAATCACTTCAAAGCTAATATTCCTCATAATTGTCATAAACTTATCTTAATTCACGAACCGACTAGCCATGATCTGTTTTTAAATGAGTTCTGATTCTTTCTTACATTATTGCACAAGAAGATTGGGGTCAATATCCTGATGGCACAAGTTGGCTCATTCGTTCCATGCGACAAAGCTAGCATTTCTGTTCGAGATTGTATCTTTGCTCGTGTAGGTGCTGGAGATTGCCAGGTGAGTAGACGTGATCAGTATATGAGTAACCACAACTATTTGACTGTCATGGTTATTGGTTCTTTTGCACTAAGACATCTCACATGGACAAGGATATAAGTACTAACCCATATAAATGGACTTGATAAATAGAATTATTTGTAATTGCTCAAAGCCTCAAATAGATGTGTAAATTGTACTCTGGTCTAGATAAATTAAATATGTCTTCATTAGAAGAACTAAGTACTGGACCCCAATCCTTACATTATTCTACATGCCATCTTTTTTGTGAGTGCCATATTTACTGCATATTTACTAGTGGTTGCGAGTGCCATATTTACGGCAAAGTATGGCCTCCTAACATAATTTCAATAAATAAGTTCAGTAAGAAGTGCAATTCACTCTCTAATATATTGTTCGTGTTTATGAGTCCACTATATATTTAAAGCATTTAGTCCTTGATTGATTTCCAGATCATTTCAGATCTCATCATACTATAATTCCGTTACCAACCGTTTCAGATTTATAAGAATAGAATGAGAGAGAGAAAAAGGAAACAAGCTAAAGGTAAAACTTATCGGTGTCTGACCTTGTCAAGAAACACAAATATTAAAATTTCAAAGGTAGTTTATTATTTAATACTGAAGACACTTATGAGGCTATTAATAGAGCCCAAAACAGAATAGGAAACATAATGATGTAGCTAATAAAAAGCTGACTAAACATGAATAAGGAAATAACATATCATTACATATAGGAAGCTGATAATAATAATCACAATAATAATATTAATAGTAATAATGATGGTGATAATAGCAATAATAATAATAAAAACGTTTTTTGACAAGTGTGAGTAGTCCAAGTGGATCACACATTCGCACCCCATATTTAAGTTTCTCCCCTTGTAGAGGGTTTTGAGTTCAAGTCATTACAACAACATCCAAGCCTTGTTCCCAAATGATTTTGGGATCGGCTAACATGATACATGAATCAATCCATGATATCGGAGCCAAAAAGAAAAGAAAAAAAGAAAAATAAAAATATAAAAAAGGATAAGATATATAAAAGATAAAAGATAGAAATAACATAAGGACATATGAAAGATAAAGAAGAAAAAAGAAAAAAGAGAGAAGATAGAAAAGAGATCAATCCTCCACGCAAATACACGACCTTCACTTTGCTCTCTCGGTCTCTCCAAAGCCATATTTTTTAGTTCAAGTCATTAAACAGGTAAATTTAGATTTTTTCCCTCAAATGATGATACTCTAGCACCGGAGCTAGCTCTAGTTGTCACTTAATCAGTACTATACCTCGTTTCAAGCGGCAGTGTGATAATTAGTTTCTTGCTAGGAACTTGATGGTTTGACCGGGAGCCTCGGAGGGAACCCATAGGGCATAATCAGTTGGAGTCCTGTAGATTGTCTTTAATTTCATTTACTTTTATTTCATTTTGGAATGGTATGCCACTCTTGGAGATGTTTTATACTTGGCTTTATTGTAGTAAATTCGGCAAATGTTCCTTGACATTTACCCTACTTATTTTGGTGCTTTACTCTCCGGGTTAAGAAAAAGTACAAGCAGGAAAAAAACTGACATTATAAGAACTCGAACAAGAATGGGAAGAATCAGAGAAGGAAAGGGGAGGAGGAAGGGTGAAGAAGAAGAAAAAGAGAACGTACCTAGTGCTTAAGATGAAGCCACTACTGGAGAATATCAGTTGATCTGTGAAAATCTTAAAACCTCGACTTGGACTTTGTAACCTTATTTTCCAATTTTTAAAATACCCACAGAGTATTTTAAAATTCCATAGTATCCCACTTAAGTATTTGAATTAATACTTCAAAGGCAGTTTATTAATCAATACTGAAGACCCTTATATATTACAAGTGCCCTAATATAATAAGATACATAAAACTGAAGGCAAATAAGTTGATTAAAAATAAATAAATAAATAATAATATCAATACTAATAGGACAACTACTAGAAATATTATTAAGAAACTAGTACTAATAAAAAAACTAATAATAATAATAATAGTAATGATAATAGTAATAATATTACTAACTTCTACAGCAACAACAAGTCTCCTAATATTTCTTCGGCCCTTTGACATGACTCTAACAAAAGACTTATTCACATCATAATCTTGTAAGAATGATCATCTGCTTCCCAACACTCTATCCTTCCCACAAAAGGGTTCTCTCTTTCCTTTTTGCATGTCCAAACATATGGTCCCTCTACATATTATATCTTGTAAGGAAAGAAGTCTGGTTCATAATTTCATATTAGCTATCTTTCCTCCTCAAAAGTATGAGGCAAAAAATTCATAATTCTTAGTAAGCATGTAGTCAAATAGAAAGCTTTTCCTTGAACGTAGGGAGAAACCTTTGTCCAATGTTGGAGTTCCGCATTGAGACTTGCTATTTGTTTTATTTACTTAAATATATATATATATATATATCGTTAATAAAACCAAACACAACACTAAACGCTTAATGGAAATAAACAAATCACCTATATCACTCACTGAGAAACTTATTTTTTTACTTATTAATACACTTCTATATTTCCATCATTTTCAATGGAACCAAAGACTCACTATTTTTTGGCTTGGGAATATGATGGAATAAAGCAAAATGGCTCACTACATTGTCTGCGTTTTTTTTTTTTTTTGGGAAATGTGCTTCTTTGTTATGAAGTAGCAGTCAGTCTAAGCAATTTTCGACGCGATGGATCATTCGGAAACAGTCTCTCTGTGCTTTAGTGCAGGGGTAAGACTGTCTACATCCGACCCCCCTTACCCCACCGTAGGTGGGAGCCTTTGTGGCACTGGGGTAATGATGATGATGATTAATACACTTCTATATTTCCATCATTTCCAATGGAGCCAAAGAATTGCTATTTTTTGGCTTGGGAATGTGATGGAATAAAGCAAAATGACTCATTAAACTGCTCGCTTCTTTGTTATGAAGCAAGACTTACCCGTGCAATTTTTGATGTGTCTTTGTGCTTTAGAACAAGGATAAGAGTGCGTACATCTGACCCACCTTACCCCACCGTACGTGGGAGCCTTTTGCGACAGTGGGGTGATGATGATGACGATTAATACACTTTTATAACTTTTACAATTTTCTCCCACTAATTAGTACACATGTATTGGGACACTCAACACAAAGGTACTTCTTAGATCTCTTTTTCAATTTTATCTTTTCTCCGTTCTCACACATTGCACATCATATAGATTGCAAAAACAGCATTATAGTTATACTAAAACCATGAGTCATGTGATGAGAATTAATTACTCCACATTCCACAAATAAGTGATAGGGGCTCGTTTCTGCTTCCGACTACAAAGTTAATTTTCCGACTTCCATCTATTACTACATGGATCCTTTTTTCACATAATTCATTTTTACATTAGATCTAACACAGCCACATTCTTAATTTGTGTTTACATTATGATTTTCTCCTAGTATGTGACAATGACATCACAATAATTGGCATTTCTTCATGTGTGAAGTTCTGGTGAAGAATTATATCTTTGCCATCTTTATTTTACAGCTTCGTGGAGTTTCAACGTTTATGCAAGAAATGCTTGAGACTGCATCAATCCTTAAAGGAGCTACTGATAAATCATTGATTATTATTGATGAATTAGGACGTGGGACATCAACTTATGATGGATTTGGTTAGTTGTATTCCAGTTTTAAATTTTGTTACTTTGGTTTGTATTAACCTATGCATTTGGGTGTTGAATGAATCCTTTGCTAGATGTAATATTTGACTGTTGACAGCTTGATATTTTCTTGCTTCTATATCTATGTAATCTTGTACATGGCATATCATCTAGACAGCCATAACTACAACTAAATGCACCATCAAATCGTCAATATAGTTACTTTGAGAGCCAAATGCTTTTGTGTTTAACCTTTGTTAACTCAATTTAAGTACGCAGTAAGAAACAGTTGCTTGATCATTTCATACTCATGTTCTTTTTCAAAAGCACAGTGGTGGACAGGGATTTGCAATGTTTGTCTTCATATTTATTTAACTCTATTGCAACCCTAATCATTACACTCAAATCTAGTCTAACATTTGTACAACTTCTTTCCTCAAACAGCTTAGTTAACTTGCATCCACTGTTCTTAACTACAACTTTCAGGCTTAGCTTGGGCCATTTGTGAACATATTGTTGAAACGATTAAGGCACCTACATTATTTGCCACTCACTTCCATGAGCTCACTGCACTTGCTGATGAAATTGTGGATGACGGCCGAACCAAGAACAGCGCTGGTGTAGTTAATTGTCATGTTAGTGCACATATTGACACTACAAACAAAAAGCTAACTATGCTTTATAAGGTATCTCTTTGTTTTGTGCTTCTTAGAAGCTGCCACTCATTTTTTATTGAATTTATTATTCCGCTTAGATATCCAAGTATTATAGAATATTTCACTATCTAAGGTAATAAAGATTAGCAGTAAGAATTCCTTGAGAAGTGTATGGTGGTAATGGTCTGATGGATAATGTGACATACGTCATCTTAGGTAGGCGTTTTCATTTGTTCCTCCCATTAATACTCCTTATATTTCCACTTGATGCTGATTAGCATAATTAAGGGAGGGTGATCATGGGTGTTCTTACCTAACACTGTACCTTTTTTATTCAATCTTGCGATGCTGAGTATAGATATTACCTTTGACCATGTCACGTGTTAGGAAGTTGATAAATCTGTCATTCCTTACCCTTCAATTCATTTAAATTGCTCAAGCTTTACAAGTAACAGCCAGCCAACACAGAAAGAAGAATTGCTGTGAGAAATCTGTAGACCTGCTTTGAAAAAGGTCATTCTCTCACAGAACTGGCTCAAGTGGGACCTATTACTTTATAGCTTGGAACTTGAGCTAAAAACTATGACTTTCAAAATGTTGCCAAGATACACCATTTTTACAAATTATGAATTTTAGCCTAAAACAGTACCCCTTCTGATTCTTGTTATAAGACAATTGACCAAATCATACAAGCCTAGATAATAATCTTGAATCCTTTAAAAAAGGATCATTTTATTCCAAATAACCATCTATGACTATGCTGTGTGTATGAGTTTAAAAAAAAGAAAGCTAAACCAAATTTATTATTTGGGGAAAACCATGGAAAAGCAATGATAAGTGTTTCATAGATAACAACAATGCCCTTGTCAAAGGACCATTGACTCTTTTAATAAGGGTTAGATGGGGTAGTTTTTATTCGAAAATTGGTACATTTTATGGATTGAGCTCTCTGAGACCATGTCGCCCATGTTTGTTTCCTTTTTGGATATATCTCAGGGGAGGGAGACAAACCTAAGACCTCTTACACAGTCTGATTTATCACTCACCAATACAGAACTCCAAATCTCATTCTCCTTCCTAAACTATGCATATATCTGCATTTTAACAAAAAATAAGCGGCACATAATTTCTCATGAAAATTTATTCCAGATTGAACCAGGTGCTTGTGATCAAAGTTTTGGGATTCATGTTGCAGAGTTTGCAAACTTTCCCGAGAGTGTAGTTTCTCTTGCTAGGGAAAAGGCTGCTGAGTTGGAAGATTTCTCACCTGCATCTAAACTTGTTTCCCTTGCTGAAGAGGTATCTTCAATTGTTAGATTATTGTGATTCTTCAATAATCAGCATCAGAATTAATCCCAACTGTTGAGGTCAGTTGCATAAAGTTTTATGTCATAATTGTCTAAAACAGATAAACAATTTAAATTCATACCAAAAAACGAAAAAAATAAAAACTGTGGGAAAATTTAACACCGGTTCCCTTCCTGTCATGAGTCATGACCTTACGAAGTAATAATACGATGAAATACCAAAACGTTATCATCAAGTTTTTCCACTTTCATGAAAGTATCGAAAGACTGCATTGCATTGAGATAGTTATTATAGGTATCCCCATTTCAAGATCTATATTGTAAATTCAACATACAGATTGTTGTTAGGAGTTCAGGAAATGCCAAGGAAAAAATAGGGAGGAAAATCAAGAGGAAATAAAATATAGGGGAAAATATGGTCTTAAACTGAATGAGTCAATTTTAGTCATTTGTTCAAACACTTTTTATTTATATAATTTCTATTTGTACTATATAAAGACTGAGAAATCTACACATAAGAAAAAAATCAAAAAACTTTAATCAAAATCGTTTTTTCGTTCACATATATCAAGGTAAAGCTGAACATAAAAAGAACCATCTCATCTTTTCCCCCTTTTCCTAAAATTTTCCAAGTTCAGATGATAACCTAAGTATTACAAGTGCAATAATTTGTAGGATTGATCTCCCCTTTCATAAATAAACACATAAGGGATATAGTTTAATCAATCTTAGCATTAGTTGAAATCACAAAGATGCTTTGATCATTCTAGATCCATGAAATCTAGACTCACAACAGTATGCATACAAGATGATATGAAGAGTTTGTCCCCCTCAATGGAGGGACAATTTATTTTCAACATGCAATAAGTGTGTCTGACCTTTTAACCTAATTGGTTTCATCATTGTCACATATGCCAATATAGCATATTGAGAAATATCACATTTTTTATCTAAAAAATGAACCATGGTTGTCCAATGTACAACTTCTAAATACTGGTAAGGTTTAGTGATATGAAGCTTGTATTTTGACAATTTTCGCAAACTTGCATTAAAATATTTGTTTCATAAAACTAGGCTCTTTTTGGTGCAAAAATGTACTCCTTTTTGGATGAAATGGGGTTAAACTCTTACTTTTGTACCAGTGAGACGTTAGTATATGGGCTTCCCCAAAGTCACATAATGTCATGCACTCGTGCTACATCTTTCTCTCTTTCTCTCCAGGCAACCGTCAAGCGCAAGAGAGAATTCGACTCTGATGAAGTGTCAAGAGGTGCTGCTCGAGCTCGTAAGTTCTTGAAGGATTTCACAGAGTGGCAGCTAGACAAAATGGATAAAATTCAAGCATTGCAATGTCTAAATGAATTGAAAACAAACTTGGAGAAGGATGCAGCAGACTATCCCTGGCTTCAGCAATTCTTCTAATACTCTTCTTGGTACTCTGCGGCATGCACTTTTTGTCCTCTCTTGGCAAATATACTGATGGGGGCGATCGAGATTTTGGTAGTTTTTTGTATAAGCCTGACCCCTGTTAACCTTAAAACATGGGAGTTTTGTATTTAGTGCTGTATAGTCTTAAGCCTTAACTTGACTGTAGAAAATTGCAAGAAAAATCTGCCTTTTTATCAACTTCTTGTATTCTCTAGTGTTGCTTAATCTATAGTGTTGCTGTGTGCATGAAAGTGTGGCATTTCACCCTTCGGAAAACATTTTGGGCCTGTTTACTAACATAGATCAGGGGTGGACTCGGGCCAGTTCGGGCCCGGTTCGGGCCTGGGCCCGGCCGGGGCTCGGTTCATGAAAGGGGAGGCCCGGAACCGGCCCGGGTAACCCCCGGGTCCGGTTCGGACCGGGCCGGGCCTCGGTTTTACTTATTTTTTTGGCTTTTCCTAATTAACCCCCAGCCCTCCCCCCCACCCCCAAACCACCCCAAACCACCTCAAATGGCCCAAAATACCCAGCCCAACCAAAAAACTTAAAAAAATTCAAAAAAGAAAAAAGAAAAAAAAAAATGTAATAGGCCCGGACCGGGCCCGGACCGGCCGGGCCGGTTCACCTTTTCAAGGGCCCGAGACCGGCCCGGAACCCCAGCGGGTCGGGCCTACCCAGACCGGTCCCTGGCCGGGTCGGCGGTTCGGACCGATTCAAACAGTGACCGGGCCGGGCTGCCCGGCCCGAGTCCACCCCTAACAGAGATTAGGGGTGGATTCGGGTCGCGCCACCCGGTCCGTGGACTGGCCCGGTTCTCGGGTCCGGGCTGGGCCTAGGCCCGGGGGGGTCCGGGCTCGGGTCTTACATTTGGCGAACTGGCCGGGTCGGACCCGGGTCCGGGCCAAATTGATTTTTTTTTTTCATTTTTTGGGGTTCCACCCGGGTTGGGCTTGATGGTTATGAGGGGTTTGGGGGGGGGGGGGGTAGGAAAGCAAAAAAAAAACCAAATTGGAGGCCCGGCCCGGACCCAGACCCGACCTGGTGGTTACCCGGGTCCACCAATTCTGAACTGCTGGCCTGACTCGGACCCGGCCTGAGTCCACGCCTAACAGAGATATTTTCCAGTTTTTCAAAAAACTGAAAAACTGGAAAAAGAAAAAGAGAAAACGTGTTTATCAAAGAAAATTGCTGGAAATGTGGAGAAAAGAAAATAGAAAATTGCGTTTACCAAATCGTTTTCTAAAATGAAAAAAATGAGATATCTCTTTTTTCCTTAATGAATTTGAGAAGTGACTTTTACTAGTTTTCCAAATTTGGAAATCGCGGATGTTGCAGTGCCGCTGCAACGAATTTGAATACTTATGCCTAGTGGTGGATCCGGTCCCGCTCCAGTGTTAATTGTAGTCCGCTCAACGACCTGATGGTCCGGTCTTTGACCCGGCGGTCCTTGTCCGGGCCGGTCGATAGCCGAGCAATCCCGGTTTCGTCCGGTCGATGACCCGACGGTCCTTGTCCGGTTTGGCCCATGACCTTGTGGACCCGGTCCGGTCCATGGCCCCTATCCGGTCTGGTCCACGACCGGGGGGGTCCCTGTCCGGTCCGATCGATGAGCCGGTGGTCCATGTCCGCTCTGATCGATGACTCGATGATCCGTTTCCGGTTTGATCCATGACCAGGTGGTGCCTGTTCAGTTCAGTTGACGGGCGGGCAGTCTCGGTCTGATTTAGTATGATCAACGACTCAACGGTCTCTGTCCGGTTCAGTCAACGACCCCGCGGTCCCTATGCGGTCCGGTCAATGACACGACGGTTCAATCTCGGTTTTTTGAAATCATTTTTTGAAGTGGAGAGTTTTAAAAGAGTCGTTAAGTTATCAACGAATAGAGAAATGGGGATAGAATTCGTCAAACTAACTGTTGAGATCGACTGGGACCGGCCGGTTAGGGTCCCGACTTTCATATACGTGAGACCTGGTACCTTACTTGGGTTGTACTGGGTTTGATTTCAGAATGGGACCGTACTTTCGGTCTTCTGGTCGATCCCAACTGGGTGAAAAAAATTGATGAACATGTTTTCAAATTTGAAAATGGGAAACTAAAAATGAAAACAGAAAACTGGAGATAGTAAAACTGAAAAATGAAAATAGAATATTTGAGAACGGAAAACAGAAATAGAAAACAGGAAAATATCTCTGTTAGTAAACAGGCCCGAAGGAAAACATCTATTTTCTATGGATATTTATTCCAAAGTCAATTTCACACTTTGATGTCTCAGCAACTCTTCTGACGCTTAGTGCAACACTTAATTACTCAAGATGTTACGGAAGGATTGGGATCCTCTGCCGCACGGCAGAGTGCCTTGCACGCAGAGGACCGTCGGATGGGAGAAGAGCGGCCTCGGGATCTGCACTTCAACATCTCCGACCATCCATCTTTTGATCGGGTGGTTCCCGAGGGCCGGGCACTGTGCCTTGCTTTGAAGTATGGCAGAAGTTCCAGATCCGTTACGGAAGGGGTAAATGCCCAATATGATTTTGGTAGAATTAATAATATGGTATCTTGAAATTGCTACGGACAACTAAATCACAGTTCTGCCCAACTAATTATGCCATTGCTTATACCTATAGTGTATGTGACAGTTTAAAGAGCGCATAAAGTGAACAAAGGTTAAAGAGTAAAGGTAAATAAATAGATATATTATAATTTTTTTTAAACCGGAAGGCAAACCACCAAAATCAGTGGGGTAAATGCCGGGAAACATTTACCGAGTTTTATTAATGAAATTAAAAAGGATATATTATAATTATATTAGCAATATTACCAACGGAAGAGACACATATGCATACATGAAAAATACGTTTTTAATGTTGCAATATAAACCATCTTCGTAGAATTGAGGTTATTAATTTATTATAGCTTAAGCAAAACTCAGGGGATACCGGATACAAGAGATATATTTATACACATATCGATGAGTGGAAGAACTATGAGCATTGGCCAGCCTTTTTGTGGTAGTAGACCCCCCCCCCCCCCCCCCTATTTATTAGGCATAGGGGTATTGGTCTAACCCAAAACATAAAAAGGATGATCCTATTTAATCAATGGAGCATGAATTCTAACAAGAACGATGCTTTTTAAAGCATATACTACGTAGATGTTTTGTCCTTGTTAACAATGCAGAATAATGCGGCAACTCTAGTGCCGCAACCATCAAAGCAGGGTCACTTCAAGGCTAATCTCTTCATTAGTTTTTTTTTGGCTAAAGGGTCAAATAGGTACATGAACTAACTTAAAGTGTTCAATTAGCCCCTTATATAGGAGGTTCTGCCCGGCCGTCGCCAATTGGGGCGGTTCCCGGTGGAAGTTGTTGATGAAATTTTTTGAGCATCTTCTTCATTAAGTCTAGTTTATCCATACCAAATTTCAGCTAAAAATTCAACCGGGAAGGCAGTCAAATGTTTTTTTGAAGATAACTGCGCAGTTAAACAACGCAGTACATTTTGGAAAATCATTTGACTGCCTTCCCGATTTAATTTTTATCTGAAATTTGATATGGGTAAACTAGACTTAATGAAGAAGATGCTCAAAAAATTTCATCAAAAAATTCCACCGGAAACCGCCCCAATTGCTGACGGCCGGGCAGAACCTCCTATATAAGGGGCTAATTGAACACTTTAAGTTAGTTCATGTACCTATTTTTTTTTATCCCGGAAGGCAAACCACCAAAATCAGTGGGGCAAATGTCGGGGAACATTTGCCGAGTTTTATTAAAATAAAAAATCTCTTCATTAGCTTTCTCCCATTAGCTTTCATCTTTTCGATCTGATGGTAATCCAAACTATCTGATGGTGACATCGACGTTCAGAGATTCTTTGTAGATGTATGATCCAATTTGACTATTGTTCTTTTCTGGTTGTGTTGATTTTGTTATATGGCGGTTCTTTCCCGGGCACTGGTGCTTCGGGTGGTTTGTCTATCTCATTGTGGGGAGTTTTATTGGTGCATGTTTCAACTAGCTGCGTCCGGTCATGGGTTTCTGTCTGCTTTCTTCGAGAGTGCATAGACATTGGTAGAGCCCGTCCTTCTCCAGAATCACCTCCGTGCCATGAAGTGTTTTGTGGAAAGAATTTATTTCAAGAGTTTTTTACACATATATTACCAAAATTAACAGGCTTTACAAAAGTATGACCTTGACTATTTAAAATGCATGAAGTCCCGTAACTAAACCAGAGAAATGACATGATTGCCCCAAACCGTTCAGAGCTATATAGGGATATATATCTAGATTTCCCTAAATTCCAGAAGATCGGTTACGTAATTGCGGAAAAGATGGAGATTACTACGTTACAGAACAATTCACTTTGGTACGGAAGTGGGTGTGTAGACAATGCTTTATGGATGTGAATATAGTAATGGAGATAGATGTAGCACAAAGTACCGATTTTTTTTAGCAAATATGGCCGAAGTAATGAACACGCATCTGGTTGTGTAGTAGTAATTTTTTTAGTTGGAAGACAGGGGTAGCGAGGTAGTAAGGTAATCCTAGTATATACTTCGTAGTAATGACTATCAAGTAAAATGGGCTTACCTGAATCGTAAGTTTATGGCTATGTAAAGTAATTGAAGTAATGAATTATAAGTAAATATAGAGTAGTCACTGCTAGTGTTTTATTGGTATGTGGAATTAACATGATAGGGTTATCATGAGAAAATTTAGTTGGAGTAGAACGAAAGAGTTCTTGCAGAGAAGGAGATTGACCAGGTGGTCTGGCCGTTAGTTGGAGGCCAAATACGGAAAGTTGAAATCGGTTTTATATCAATTTAAATATGAGATAATGTTTAGTAATATTTTTGTTAATGACTTCTTGACTAGTAATATAAATGTAATTTATGCTTATTTCAAATTTATTTTCCATTAGTAGTACTTGTTTTTATTTTAGTTCCAGTAGATTTGGTTTGGAAATTTGGACTTCTAGCATATGTTTGATAGGCAATTTTTCAGTCCGATTGTTTTAGGCTTTAAATTGCTCGTTTCGTGTTTAGCAAATCAGGTTGCTTTGTATGAGGCGACTGATTCTATGTCTATTCTCAGGACTCACAATCGGATTTGTCATAAGTGTATGGATGTTATCTTGTATCTTTTCTCGATTTTATTATAAAAGTTGATCGTTTATATTAAGAAAAACGTAGAATAAAATCGGAATTGGGGGGATCGGGATCGAGAAATATATTGTTACCGATCTCATATATATGGGGCTGGAACCAACCGGTTTGCTCTAAAACTGCAAACTAATTTAAATAATGGAGGATCTCACTTTAAAAATGAATGGTTATCGGGGAGCCACATATGTGCAAATGACTAGAAAGGTAGTCATATGGGTTCCATAATATTTGTGTGGAAACCATTTGGTAAATAGACTTACATATCACACCATCATATTCAACATGGTGACCAGATCAAGGATCGTTGGTGTTGATGAACCTTGACCTAGACATGCCAATTCCCAAATCAACAGTCGAACAACGTAAATCAATAACGTACATAGAAGAACGAATAACAATCAACAATCTTTATTGTATATGCATAATGATAAGAAGGTGAAGTACAGAATAACAATAAAGTGTTGAGACATAAAGAACGTAATGGAGCTTCTAAAATAATATGAGGTAGTATAAATTGTGAAACTCTTAGGCTTGCTCGCTACCTACATCTCTATTTATAGATGTAGTAGCAAGCATCCTAAATACAAAAGAACAGTCTGCAAACTTAAATAAAAGCTCACTAATTAAATCTAATAGAAAAAGATAAATACAATTAAATTGAACACAATTAAAAATGTCCTAACAATTTCCCCTTTTGGGTTCAATTTGTAATGAAGAGCAATTTATCTTTGTCTCTTGTAAAGTGACTCTCTGTATCCGAGGAGAACATCATATTCTCTCAATTGGCTTTTGAATTCCAGTTTCTCCTCGATAGCTTTTGCTAGCTCTGTGACTTTGTGATAATGTGCATAATCGGCACCTGATTGATCTGTCTTGAGGAGCATCTTTGCATGATTGTTGAGATGATCTTCAATAATCTGCAAGTACCATCACAATATTTATGAAGTTCACTCTTGAGAAGGATACTCTTTTTGCCTTTATAGTCTATGTAGATCATCGCAAGCTCAGGATCATAAAGTCATCACAGCCATAAATTCAATAAAATGTGTTCCATGGTGGAGTAAGGTTGACTTTATGCATGTTGTTCTCAATAGATATCTGTAAGTCATGAGTTGTGTAGTACTTCACTTGGCGGAGCATGTGTCTCTTTATAGCATTGAGACCTAAATCTTAGTCGATCTCCCAAAGTCGTACAAATCTATAGAGGTAGAGAAGTTGGATCATGTCTACAAGAACAACATGCGCGAAATCTGCTTCTGGAATCCTTTGAATGGATCCGTCTCTCCTTTCAAACTCAATGATCGGATATTCAGTCTTTCAAACTTTGTGACTCTCAACTCAAATGATCTTCATGATTTGAAATTCTGAGAGTCTCTTGAGTGCTTTATGAAGCTTCGCTGGATCATCGTCATTAGCAAACTTGTTCTTAGCATATACAGATACCCAATTGCATCAGTTCCTTTCAGATGTGTAAGCTCTCGGAGATCTAGTTCAGAAATGTTCTTGATATCTAGCTCGTGTCACAAAATCCTTGTTCTGAAATCTTCTTGATTAGGAACAATGATCTTCGCATTTTGCCATGAGGTAACAATTTTATCTTCAAGTTTTGATGCATTTGGCCTTTTGGGAATGAGCTTTACTACCTCTTGGAAATCAGGTAAGGATCATCATAAAATTCTTCGTGAAGCTGCTCTGAGATATCTAACTGAATAAGTTGCTCAGGCGCTTTCTTCTTGAAGTCTCTGATGAACTCGAGTCTACACTGAGCTTCCTCATTAGATTTTGGAAACTTATCCTTATCTCCACCGATAGCCCAGTCATCTAAAATATCATCTGCTCTGGATGGTCCACGGATGAATGATGCTTTTGCGGATGCAGGCGTTTGTTGTTTGGATGACACGTGCATTGAGTGGATGGTAATGGGTAAACTAACGTCGAGGTCACATAAATTTCTCGTTTTCATCATACTTGAGACGAGCTCTTTCTAATGGCCTGAACATGATGGTGATTCATATGTTGCATTGTCAAGACTTCCTTCCAATCCTGGAACAACATCTATGGAAGTTCGCGTGAGGTCACACAGACCAAGCGAAATGGGTTGTGGCTGAGAAGAGAAAACTGAAATGGCTTGTGAAGGTGGGGATAATGTGGGAGGTGAATGTGGGTGAGAAGAAGATGAAGGGTCAGAAGGTTGAGCTATGGATATGGAAGAGGTTGTTTGCTCACAGATGAAGGGTCAGAAGTTCTCGTGTTTGTGTGGGAGTAGTCTTGGGATGGGTGACTCCTTGGGAAGTTTCTCAGGGCGCGCACGAGTGAGAACAAAGTGTGCGTTAGAGGCTTGTGGAAGTTTGTGAGGACAATACTAGAGGTCGTAAGAGGCGTGGAGGGTGTGTAGGAGTAAGTACTTCGGGCCATATGGGGCGGGGTGTTACAGGTGGTATCACATCAACCTTGCGATAGTGTACTGATCCGTTGGAAATCGGGCGGGCACTTAAAAGGGAAAGATTCTAGGATATGATTGAGATTGAATTGACTTATGGGCGCAACGAGGACGTTGCGATCCTAAGTGGGGGTGATTCTAACACTTGAGATTAATTTAAAAGGATTAAAAGTACTACTCATACCAACAAGATGCATCTCCTTTTAAGGGAGCTCATCTACTAAGAACTCCAAAGTTAAGCGTGCTTGTACGGGAGTAATCTTGGGATGGGTGACCCCCTGGGAAGTTTCTTAGGGGGCGCACGAGTGACAGCGTGTAGGAATAACTACCTCGGGCCCTACGGGGCGGGGTGTTACAGGTGGTATCAGAGCAACCTTGCGACAGTGTACTCATCCGTTGGAAATTAAGCGGGCACTTAATAGGGGAAGATTTGGGATATGACTGAGATTGAATTGGCTTATGGGCGCAACGAGGACGTTGCGATCCTAAGTGGGGGTGATTGTAACACTTGAGATGAATTTAAAAGGACTAATAATACTACTCATACCAACAAGATGCATCTCTTTTTAAGGGAGCTCATCTACAAAGAACTCCAAAGTTCAGCGTGCTTGTAGGGAGTAGTCTTGGGATGGGTGACCTCCTTAGAAGTTTCTCAAGGGCGCACAAGTGAGGACAAAGTGCGCGTTAAAGGCTTGTGGAGGTTTGTGAGGACAATACTAAAGGTCGTTAGAGGTCTGGAGGGTGTGTAGGAGTAACTACCTTGGGCCCTATGGGCGCAACGAGGACGTTGCGATCCTAAGTGGGGATGATTGTAACACTTGTGATTAATTTAAAAGGATTAATAGTACTATTCATACCAACAAGATACATCTCTTTTTAAGAGAGCTCATCTACTTGGAACTCCAAAGTTAAGCATGCTTGTACGAGAGTAGTCTTGGGATGGATGACCCCCTGGGAAGTTTTTCAGGGGCGCACGACTACGACTGCACGAGTGAGGACAAAGTGCGCGTTAATTGCTTGTGGAGGAGGTTTGTGAGGACATTACTAGAGGTCGTTAGAGGTCTGGAGGGTGTGTGGGAGTAACTACCTCGGGCTATATGGGGCAGGGGAGTTACACCAGCGTAATTTGGGATGTACCTGGCCTTCTTTTTTGTGTCCCTGGAAACTATTTGATCCATTATTCTTGACAGATGAGTTGTGCCCAGCCGTAGTTCTTCCCAAACAAAACTCCATGCACTAGCTTGAGTATATGTACATTACATGGATGATGGCCAGACTGCTTAGGTGATAAGCATTTGTTCAGGATGGCAAATAAGATTCTCCAGGGTAGAGTGATTTTGCTATGTTGGAAGTGGGTAAGGAGTGTGAACGATGGAAGGTGACCCATGTGAAGCATGTCCTGGAGAAGATCTTTGTCTGTGGGAAAGGGGTCTAAGGTGGTAGGATGTGGATGATGGAGAACGGTATGGATGGTGGAGTGGGTGATTTGTACTGTGGTGATGGCTATGTTGGCTTGCAGTGTAGGGATGACTGCGTCAGCTACAGAATTAAGTGTTCCCCAAAATTGGCGGAGGTATATCTGGGGAACCTGAGTAGTATGAGTAAGAGCTAGCCGGAGTGAATGCCATTTCAGAATAGATATGATGATCGGATCAGGGCATTTGAAAACATTGGAGTGCAACAGAGAATTGTTATCTTTTAGATCGATCCACTCCTCTTTTGGATAGACCCCTTCTTCAGGTGAAAGTGTCATTATTTTCAGAACTGCAAATAATATTCAAATAATGAGATTAAGGGGTTGGGTGTAAGGACTTGGGTTGGGTCGAAGCTTAAGGGTAATTTGGGCTATGGATTATGGTTTAAGGATTTAGGAAAATTTGGCTAAAGGATTTTTGGGAACTCGGGGCTTGGGTGTTTTTGGGATCTCGGGGGGGGGGGGGGGGGGGGGGAGATCACTAGGGTTTAGATTTCAGGCAATAGGAAAACGGGGGCATAGGATCTCGGGCTCATGGATTTCGGGTGAGGAACGCGGGGGTGAAACACGGGGTGGAAACTTTTTGTAGCATTTCCTTTTGGTCCTATTACTTGTTTCAATCATCGTTCCACCAAGGCGCGCCCGTTTTTTGTGCCATCCATCCTTTAATTAGATTCTACGAGTGTCTCTTTCACCACTTTGTTAATGGCAGACTCCATTAATAACCACACATCATCCACATGTGCATAATTATCAATACATTACACCATACATCTTCCTCCAACATTTTGTGTGCAAAACTTTGTTGGAGATCACCCTCGAGCCTCCACCACTTTGACTTTGGCTCCACTTGTTGCTTAACCTGTCTTCTCTTCTTACCTTAAAAGTCAAGCACATGCATCCTATGTTGAGTGACAACACTCTCACCTGGGATAACCTTACAATCAGCGAATCTAGTTCTCCAAGTCATTTGTACTAAAAAGTAGTCAATTTGTGTACTATTAGCTCCACTTCTATAGGTCACAAGGTGAGAGTCTCTATACTTGAACCAAGTATTCATTACAACCAACTTATATGTTGAGGCAAAATCCATAATGTTCAACCCTGTTTGATTTTTAGTGCCAAAATCATGTCCGCCATGGATACTCTCAAAATTGTCACGACTTGGGCCCACATGCCTGCTGAGGTCGCCTCCTATGACCAACTTCTCTTCCCTCGGCACGCGTCGCACATCCTAAAGATCTTCCCAAAATTGTTGAATGATAGATACATCAAATCCCACTATTGGTGTATAAGCACTTACCACATACATGATCTGATCTCCTATTACCAATTTAATACCATGATGAAGTCATTCTTTCTAAAGGCTTCCACCACATCCTCAACATAATCTCACGCCACAATAATGCCTACTGCATTTCTGGTCTCCTCCTTCTGAATACGACAATTTAAAACTTCAGGGATTAATCTCATGTGCCTTTTCTCCAATCCACTTAGTTTATTGCACACAAATATTGTTAATATCCTCCTGCTCATAACCTCGACTACCACATATGATCTACCGGTAAGATAGCCAACATTAAACGTCCCAAAGTGGAATCTAGCATCCTGCCTTCTATTCTTCACACTGCATCGATCCCCACCATGCCCTTGCATATTTGACACCATCTCCGGACAATGGGGTGGCACGCCGCTTTTGAACGACAACCTATCAACTTTAGTGTTCTTATCACCACACCCAGACCTATGAAGTGGGGCGCGCCTTTGTATATTTGACACCACCCTCAGGCAGGGAGATGCTAGTTCACTTACGGTGACGATCTAACTGTAGATATATTCATATTTCAATTCATGTCATGTGATGTGACTAAGTGAAAGTGTTAGTGTCACATGTCTACCACACCACTCTTCTCCTTTATTCCGATTGGGACATACATGATACCAAAAATGAACGCATGACATAGTTATCAAAATACACTGATGTCAATAATTAAAGTACCGCTTATGCATTTATAAATGACAACTCCCAAAACTAAAATCTCTATCAGTCTACCCATTAAAAGATATATCCCATGAAAAGGTCGTGTGGCTTACTTGGGTGAACACCCACCCCAAGTTTCTCCTTAGTGAGAGGCATTGAGTTCAATTCTCACTGAAAGGAGATGAATGATGTCTTGTTTCTCATTATTATCCCTACCTTCATGGAGTAGCTTAGCGATTAAGAATGAGGGATGGTAATGGAGACAATCAATTTGTGTGGTGGGAAGAGCAACCAGATAGAAGATGGTGTAAGTTCCTTCAGATTATAATAAAGATAATAAGTCCTGCTAGATTCGCCCTTTGAAATCAATGCCAACGAAAGCTAACTGTGATTGATTCTATGGGGATTTGCCTGTTTAGAGGATAGTTCATGGACTTTTAGTATTATGAGAACATGATAAAAAAACATCCCTATGCACGAGCATGTACCACCGCCCCTCAACTAATGCAAGACATCTCATTTTGCAAAATGAAACGAGAGAGAATTTATTGCGGACTGAAGAGAGAGTATGAGCAATAGTGACCCAAACACACAATGTTCCTGAATAGTTATCAACTTATCACTTGTCAATTAAGAAAGTAAAAGAAATTTGTCATGAAAAATGACATGTGTATTACTAATAGAGTTTACCCAGACAAATATATGATTAGTTATGTTCTTGAACAAAAATATGACTAGTCATTGTGTATGAGTCACTATGAACTGGTCACTATAATGTATTTTAGAATAACAAGTCACTAAATATGTCATTTTTTTGGAAAATTTTAAAATAAGTCATGTTTTTGTCTTTTGAATTTAATTTAGTAATATTCATGGAAAAAGACCATTTATCATCACCAAAAAATGAAGTAATTTTCTATAGTTGACATTTGTACAAATAAAATAGAAGTAATGTTTAGTTTTTTTGATGGCAGAAGTAATGATTAGTTTAAGAGTAAAAACGTTCTGAAATTTCAAAATAGGACATTCATGTTTTTACTCTATAAATATGAGTAATTTCAATCAAGTTTTGAAAAAAATTGCCATGATTAAAACACGATAACGCCAAACTTGACATAAATTACTCCTATTTAGGAAATAAAAAGATGATCCTCTTATTTTGAAAATTGTAAAACTCTTTTACTTCTAATTTAGAGAATTTTCCATTATTTTTTAACGTATAAGTGATGTTGTGGTAACAAAAGTAAGAGGACAGATCATGCATGTTTAATAGACGTAAATTCTTACCTTCTAACTTTGTACTAAAATACACATGAAAAGCATTTTCCTAGGGTTTGCGCCGCTAGGTTGAGTTTTCCGTTTTCGATCTTCCGATCGAAGAACGGTGGTTCTCTGGGCTTGCGATTATCGCAAGGCTCGGCTTGGTGATTTAGGGAAGGAAGTGAAGCTTCGTTTGGGCCCAGGGTACTGGGCGAGTCTGATTTCTGGTTTCGGCCGAGGAAGAGAGAAGAGGAGAGCTCGAAGGGCTTGGGCATCGAGATCGAAGGACGACGACTGCAGATGGAGATGACTGGAGTCGGTAAGCAGGGGATTGGAGATCAACTTCACGCAGCTGAGGAGAGCCGAGCAGTGCAAGGTACGGAAAAATTCCAAGAGCAGATCAACGGTGAACAAAAGGACAAGAACAAATTGGCGATTGATGAAGATGAAGAAGAGGCGGTCGAGTCGGAGGAAAACCGCTTTGGTGAAACAACAATCGTTGCGAGGGTCCGGCCTCCTCCAGAACCACAGCCAAGGGTTGATTGACACGTTTTGGAGTTTGCTTTTTTATCTTTTCTGCATTTCAATTTCCAAGTTAAGACGTTTGTGTGTTGTTGTTATTTTATTTTACACTGTAAGACTCTTTCATTACGTTCTTTTACTCCTGCTGAATGCTACTACCTCCGTCCCATTTTATGTGTCTTAGTTTGACTTGACACGGTTATTAATGAAGTGGTTGAAAAAGTAAAAGTTGTGATTGAGGTTTGAGTATAATAAAGTGAATTGGTGTAGGCCGCATATTTCTTTCCCAAAAAGGAAAGTGAACACTTATTTTGGGACAACCCAAAAAGGAAAATATGACAAGTAAAATGGGACGGACGGGCTATTTTTAATGATATAAGCCTCATTCCATAAAAAAAGTATACATGATGTTCAGTGAACAGTTAGAAGTTTCCTAACCTGTCTTTCTTTCTCTATCATTTCCCGCAACTTTCCCCGGCATGGATTTCTTCTTCTCAAAGTTTTCTCTACTCCTCTCCGAACCCTAGAAAATATTCCCAATATCGCCACTGGGAAAGTTCGATGTTTATATAATTCAATAAGTTTATTTAAACATAAAAATTAAGAGAAAGATTTGGGGGCGGCGGTAGCAATGAGCTGGAGGAGGACGGCGAAGTCGTTGCAGGCACTGGCAGCCCACACCTTGCTTCTATGCTTTACCCTTTTTCTGGTGCTCAAGCTTGATCGTATAATCTTCAGCTCTTGGTGGTGAGTCTGTTTTTAATCTTTTAACTTTATGCACTAAATATATTTCCGACCTTTCTTGTGTAAAGTTGTAAACTTTTGACCTTTCAGTTTTTATATTTTAAATGTTGAGTTCCGAATTATTTAATTGTACATTAGTTTGGAAAAATTACTCATATTACTCGGCACAACATTTATTTCTGAGTGAATTTATTAATTAATTCATTAATTTATTAATTTTTTTATTTACTTACTCCGTATTTATTTAGTAATTTATTTATTTATTTATTTATTTATTTATTTATTTATTTATTTATTTATTTATTTATTTATTTATTTATTTATTTATTGATTAATTTATTGATTAATTTAGTAATTTATTTATTTATTTTTATATATATTTACTTACTTATTTATTTAGTTTTTGAGAAGAACCAGAGACGCTTTAGAAGTTTGCAAGCCAGGAATGGCAGGTCAGGGGACGAGACTAAAGGAATTTATATTGAGGGGCCAAAATTTAAAATTTCACTATATTTTTTACTATTTATAAATATTTATAGATATGTATACACATCACAAAGTTTTACTCTTTCCAAATGCAATTTGTTGAGCTGAGTCTCGGGAGATTTGGTAGATCTATTCTTTAAGATAAATTGATTGCTAAAATATGTTGGAGATGCATAGTACACCAAGGGTCTGTTTGGATGAAGGCTGTTTGGAGGGTTTTGTAGTGGAAGAGGCTGCCTTAGTGTATAATACAATATCTTGATAAATAGAATGTTTCTAAAAACAAATAAATGGTGATTGCAATGTTTTACAACCAGAGATCATGTTAATCTTTCAATTTAAAAAAAATCAAATGTATAACAGGACATAGACTAAGCCTGCCTTCCAAAACCTCCCCTCAACAGCCCTCCAAAAACCTGCCATCTTAGCAGGCCCTAAGTGAATAGATGAACTGCAAACCTTACTCTCTACGACCTGTGTTTTAAGGTTGTGATTCTACATATGTGTTGCTGTCTGTGAAAGATGATTAGTAAGTTCAGCAATACTTTAACAATCCCCTTAATGCTAGCCGGTAGAAAGGAAAATGAAGAGCTATGTGATGCATATCTGATGTCTTAAAGAAGATATTTCAAGCCATTGGCTATTTGTGAATGCTCAATAGTTACTGGCTATTTTCCTAAGTTCTGAATATTCAAACTTGGGGTATGCAGGATAGTATTCTTTCCTCTATGGTTATTTCATGCAGTTATTGCACGTGGAAGATTCTCACTTCCTGCTCCAGCAATTCCCCATGACCGTCATGTATGACAGTTGTTATACTCATCTGTTGTCTGTTAGTAAAAAAAATTGCAGAGTATGTTGCAGTAGTATTATCCTGACTGGTGTTTTGTTCATTCTGAACAGTGGGCTCCATGCCATGCTGTTGTGGCCACACCATTGCTCGTCTCGTTTGAACTACTTTTGTGTATCTATCTCGAGAGCTTATATGGTAAGAAAGAGAAATACCAGACTTTTCCAAGTCCATATTCCATCTACTTTCCAAAATATTTGCTGCGTCATACGTCCTCCGTCAATTTTTCAAGGCCCCCAATTTCTATTGTCTTTATACGCCTCTGAAATATATGCACATTAAATATGTTCCCCCAATTTACCCCCCCCCCCAATACGATTCATTTTGTCTTTTTTCTCGCGGGGAAAATAATTGGGAGGGTGGATTTTACTGAGGGCATATCAGGTAATGAGGTAAAAAGTATTAAAAGTTTTGGTGAATTTTTGACCCCGTACTTTTTCTTGTACAGTGTGGTTCAGTCAACCTAGACAGATAATGAAGAACAAAGGGAACATGATTTAATATTCACACATGGTCTTCTCATTATTTGTATTATTTTATAGGGAGGAAGATATCATTCTATTTTATTTTGTAATTCTGTGTCATTTACATCTCTCTCACGTTATTTTCAGGGATCATTGGCTTCATTAATTTTTTCTTTTTCCTCAACGTGCAGTCGACCATTATGCAGCTGTTAATTTAAGAATTGTGTTCCTTCCCTTGTTGGCATTTGAAATAACTATTTTAATTGACAACTTAAGGTATGGTCTATTTTTTGTTATCGCTATAGTTATTTTATCGTGATACCTTTGGTTGCCTGACTATGAAAAGGGTGAATTGAATAAATAAATATCATTACAAAGTTTAAAATTCATGGTGTAATAAGTGTAAACATGAGTACATGACACCCAGTTTTGTCCCCAGACTAGTCAGATTATAATATGATCAATGTAAAGATGATTAGCTTGATATTCTTGAGCATAATAACCATCTCTGGAGGAATCCCTTTTAATCCGGTTCTTGCTGTCATAAAAGTTGAACCTTAGTTGTTTAACAAGAGATGCTAGGAAAAGTGATTAGTAAGTTTTGTTTGATGATAGTGTAATGTTAACTTTAATAATTGCAGAATGTGCAAATCTTTGCTTCCTGGGGATGATGAAAGCATTTATGATGATGCATTCTGGGAGACGCTTCCTGTAAGCTCTTTTCTGTAGAGTATTTTCATTTTTTGAAGAATAAATTAATGTCTTGTGCCAGCCAATAGTGCCATATTTAGCATGTTCCTTTTGCCCCCTCTCAGAGAGGAAAGTATTTGCAGCTTCATTTAGAGTCCTACACAAATTCTTAGAGTACTTGTTCTGCACCATATCCAACATCTATTTTATTGGTAGACAAACAATTTTCCTTTGTGAGAACAACTACCTGATAATTAGGATTTAAAGCCTGACAAATTGCAGGATTTTGATACAAAGCCATTCAGTTCACATTGTCTATTCCAACATCTTTTTCCAGGATTAATGAGATTTCTTCTGATTTCGTTGAAATAAAAGATACAGCGTTTTCTTTATGGTGTTATGTGATAAAACAGCTATATCAATGATCATATTATGATTTATGAGGTGTGATTGAATTCTCAGCTGTACCCTTTAGGAAAAAATCTAAACATTTCAAATTCTTCGATTGTTATTCTTTGCATGTTGAGTCTGAAGGTATTGCTTTTTAACCTAGGGCTTCAATTTTTTTGGTATCATACATATGATTATGAATTCAAATCGTTCATTATTAGGCAGTCCATATACTACCTCCGTTCTCTTTTAGTTGCAACATTGGACGTTTTGCACTATTCACGTATTCTACTTTGACTATATTTTATTGATTAATGTATTATAAATTAAATTTTTAAAAAATATTGTTAAATTCTACACATTCCAAATTTTCAACATATGATTTTTTAATTTTTTTACTAATAAGGAATGAAAGATATTAATGGTCAAACTTGTGCGTTGGCAAACGTGAAATATTGACTGTTGCAATTAAAAGGGAACGGAGGAAGTATATAAATATACTTCTCTTTACAATTTAAGTGTTTTATTATTTATGAAAAAGATTCCTCGGTTGAAGTAAGCCTGCTAAATATAAGAGCTTGTTAGTATGTTTTTTTGCTGATGTGGTTGAATCGTCTGAAATTTATGAAAGGAAAGGTGTTTGTTTATATTGATTTCAGCAAAATAAGTAAGTCAAACACTACTTATTTTGCTTATATGAATAAGCAGAATAAGCCGATTAAGCTAAAATTGGCTTCAACTAATGAGTGACATTTATTACTAGCACTTTTGGGTTGCACTCTCTATGGTGTTCTTTGTAGCGGCTACAGTCTTCACCCTTCTCAAACTCACTGGTAAGTCCTTTGACTCCTTTCTTAACCTTCTTGTGATGTCCTCATCTCTATGCTCCTTGTTTTTCTTATGATGTTCTTTTCCCTTCTTAATTTCCACTTTCCACTGAAACTATTTGTAGTTCTGATAAAATTTGGTCTAGGGCAGTTCGGGTGAATTCAAATATGACATGAGTCACTGTTAAAAGAAATAATTATTGAAATATCATCTCATCGGTTCTGTAAAACTTAGGTCCTGTCTAGCCTCTGACATGATGTATATTTTATACTCGCATTATTGTTATTAAATTGTCTAAGATTTTTTCTTTGTTATACTGGTAGCTTGAAAAGTTGTATAGGAAGATTCTGCCAGGGACTTAAAAGATTTTTTTGTTTTGTTTTGGCTCCAATATCATGGATTGATTCATGTTAGCCGACCCCAAAATCTTTTGGGAATAAGGCTTGGATGATGTTGTATAAACCTTGTATGAAAAATGATGAAAAGAAAATAGATTATAAGTGGGGGATATGGATTCATATTTAAACATGTTTTCGTAGATTATAAGTATTTAAGCATACATACATATATGCACACAATGAAAAAAGTAGTGGGTCTGATTGGAACCCGGAAAATATTATTGAAAGAAAACCAGAAGGTACCCATGGAGGAAGATTGGAAGGAAAGAAAATGTCGGGGAATATAAAAATAGGCTAGAACCTAGAACATAATAAATGTATATAAGATATTTATTTATAGTTTATACCCATTATAATTATTTTTTCTTTCATTTATACTGATAACCCATTACATTTATATTTTCTATTACTTTAAGAGAAAAATCTGAACTACATAGACTTTTAAATGAAGTAATAATATTTCCTTTTTCTGTGCATTTTAAGGTAAAATCAAACATGAAAAATAACTTAACATAATGTTTCCTTTTCTTTGCATTTTCTGGGACCTAAATATACCCTAAAAAGCACAATTTATTTATACTTGCTGTGATAATCATGTCTTCTGGGACCCAATTTTATCTCTCATAACTCCATTGACACCCCGCTGTAAAATAAAATCTTCTAGCAGAACTTTCCACTGTGGTAAAGCTCCAACACACAGTCCACAACTAGAAATCCCCACCGTTTGCT